ACCAAGATGGGGAAGTTCTGGAACCCATCAGTCACTTGTTCTCCTTGGTAGCTGCTGCCCTGAAGCTGCTGCACCTGGTAGCTGTGTTCTCCCAACCCCAAGCCCCACCCAGAGTTTCCAAAACCAGCATTCTTAGTGAGTCATGGGCAGCCAATAAAGAAACACCCAGAAAACTGCAGGTGGCAAAATTACTATGTCATTCTTCATCATCTACCAGAGATGTCCAGGATGGATGAGTCGCAGGAGCTTCCTGCAGCTTGTAATTTTGGCTCTGCAACTGCCTGGCCCCTACGGGGATGGCTACAACCTGGGACAACAGATCCCTAGAATAATCACAACAGAGTCAGGTGGAGCAGCAAAAGGCCAGTCAATGCAGGTGCTGCTTCCTAAGTGAGCACAGCACACTGACAAAGAGGCATCCTTTGAGCAAGGCTGTCACCCACAACACGCTCCCCCAGTGATGCAAGGGCATCGGAGAGAAAACTTGAGCATGCTCAGTTCCCTACCTGATGAGCAAGCAAGTTTTAATGAAGATGACATTGCAGTTTCACAACCTAGCATTGCAGAGTGGAAGATTCAAAACGATGGCAAACTTCACCTCTTTCCTGACCTTGTGACCTTGGGCCAACTGCTTAAACTCTCTCAGCCCCAGTTTCTTCATCTGTAAAATGGGGATAATAGTAGTACCTACCTTATAGAGGACGGTGGAGCTTAAATGAAATAATAAAAGTAAACTGCTTTGTGCAATGCCTGGAACATTGTCAACACAATACATGCCGATTGCTATTGTGACCATGGTTTTCATCATTGTTGCAAGCCACTTCATCATGTAACATATGGCAATAGCTCCCAAAGCCACCCTTTATTGAGACTCAGTGCTGTAAGTACCAATCTCCATGCTAGGGAATTTACATGCATTTCTCAGTGTATCCTCACTGCATCGTTGCTGGGTAGAAAATAGACTCAAGAGGTTGATTTGTCCAGTGACTTAACAGCATCCAGTTAATTGCTTTAAACCCGAAGTCACTTCTATCGGCCAGTAATGAATGATGACAATTATTTCTTCCATCTAGGTGGCACTCTTTCATTCTGAAGTCGGCTTTCTTTAGGGGATTTAAGACAGCCTGACCTTCACCAGCTGGGATCAGAGATAGAAAATAAGGAGCTCACAAGCTTGCAGACTGGTGGAGTAAAGATGATCCATTGGTGAAGAGCACCTAACCAAACCACCAGAGCATGGTGGCCCACCCAAACGCAACACAGTGTAAATACAGCAAGGGTGGAGAGAAAAGTCCACTGATCTCTATTTCTCTGGGAAGCAGGTTCATTTGAGTCAACATCTCCCATGGTGAACAGAAGCATCTGATGTCTTTTATACTAGCCCTACCTGAGTGAGGCTGTGAACCCCAAGGGCTGGTGAACCTTGGAGACAGATTCCTCCATCAGTGAAGGCTCCTGCCATTCCCCTCCCTCCCTTTGCCCACTTGCCACTCCCAGGCCAGGGGACTAGGGTAAGCCCCAAGAAGGTGAAGTCCTTCTCATGCCCCACTCAAGGTGGCTGGGCACCCTGAGGTTGTGAGGCTCGGCCACACTACAGCCAGATCTGCCTAATGCTGTCCCCAGGCATTACCATCATGGGGGAACAAGATGGCGTGTCACCGCCCTTCACAGTGCAGACCAGAGCCAGAGCCGACAGTGACAAACAGGCAGACAGACTGAGCCGGGCATGGATGCAGCCCCAGGGGCCCCCTTGGCTGGGTCAGCAGGAGGAAGGCTGCCACCAGGGCCCAAAAGCAGGGAGTTCTCTTCTGAAATTCACAGTGGCGGGGAAATGGGAACGCTTACAAACAAGGAGGAGCCAGTAGCTGTGTTCTCCCAACCCCAAGCCCCACCCAGAGTCCCCAGAACCAGCATTCTAAGTGCATCAAAAGATTTGCCTAGGAAAACTCAGTGGGTAGACCTCAGAGTCACTGAAATGGACCCTCAGGGAGTGCATACCCCTGGGGAAACTGAGACCCAGACAGAGAAAGGAACTTGCTGCATTGAAGTGATACAATGCAGGCTAGATTGCATGTGGATTCAGAAGGGACCCCACGGACAAGTTCATGCACCATTCTGAGCCTCAGTTTCTTGATCTGTAACATGGGAATTCTACCACCTGCCTCACAGACTGGGGCGAGTCTTAACTGAAATAGTGCAGCTGACAAACCAGGCAGAGACAGAGGCCACACATGCAACGGGCAGCAACACTGAAATTCCAACAGAGAGCATCTCATTTCCCAGACTGGAACCTGCCGCACCACACCAGGCTGCCTCTGTTTCTGTTACTTGTTAGAATCAACAGATAGGGAACTGGTCCCTGGGGTTTCAGCTAATAGTTGGGTTACACACTCATTCTTCCACTGAGACTCAAATGCTATCTTCCTTCTTTCTGGGAGATCAGAGAGAAACTTCTTTGCACGCAAGAATCAAGACTGTCCAAGGTGCAGTTGTGCTCCTGGTGCCTCTTACTGCTAGGAGCTGCCTTTTAATTAAGGACTTTGCTCCTGTCCACAGGCAAGCAGAAAAGCTTTTTCTCTTAGGTGGAGACCAGGGCAGGAACAAAAAGTTAGAAGCCACAATGAATCCTCAAAAACTCTTTGGTAGGGACCGGGGCTCAAATGTTCAAATCCATGGTGGTTTTTTTGGGGTTTGTTTTTGTTTGTTTGTTTTTGTTTTTTCAAAGCAGGAGGGAGATGTTTTTACTCTGGCCAAAACTAAAATGCAGAGCAGTGGTCAAACCCCTGGAGGGGGCCCTGCTGACATTTACTCATAGGATGGCGATGACCAAGGACAGATGGCTGCTAGAGGCAGCCACCCAGAGTCATGCCAAGGCAAATGCCAAGCACTTACCCATTGGCACCCGGTAGCTGTGTTCTCCCAACCCCAAGCCCCACCCAGAGTCCCCAGAACCAGCATTCTAAGTGCATCAAAAGATTTGCCTAGGAAAACTCAGTGGGTAGACCTCAGAGTCACTGAAATGGGCCCTCAGGGAGTGCATACCCCTGGGGAAACTGGGCCTTGGGTAAGTGGGGAGGGGGAGTAAACTGCAAGGCATTTAGCCACAGAAGCCCCAAATTAACCATCAGACCACAGGCTGTAAGTGCTTCAAGAATAAAACATCATCATAAAAGCCACCATTTATTATGAACCTACTGTGTGCCAGGAACTATGCAGAAGGCTTGGCATGCATGAGCTTATCTAATCCTCACAACTATCTACAAGGTGAACCTCTTATTGTCCCCATTTTACAGATGAGGAAACAGGTTCAGAGGCTTTGAACTCACTTGAGGTCACGCACAATTGCTTAAAAGTAGAATAACTGGGGTTCAAACCCAGGCATCTGTTCCTGGTCGTGACATCTGCCTCATCTGGCTGTTGCTACACACTGGACATGTCACTATCATGCTTTTCTTCATCCACGCTCATGCAGCCACTCTCTTTGACTACCACGCAGGCCCACCTTCATGAAGGGTGCTCTCTCTGGCAGTGATTTCTCTGGACAAATTAATAAATTGGCTTTCTGGTGTGGACCTGTGAGTCATGGGTGCTATTTTAGTTTGCTCGATTTGGAGCCTGCCTAACCTGGGCACTGAGACAAGGCAGTCTCTGGATTGACCCCTATATGATGTCCACATGGTTTATCAGTCTACACCCTCAGCTGACTCCTACCATGGATGCGCCATATACACCCGTGGGCTATAAACCAAGCTCACCACCCAGGCCCGAGCCTAACCATCTAGCTGGATGTTGGATATTACATGTGCCTTTTTTTCCAGGCAAGAATTAATAGATCTTGTCAAATTCTCAACATGTAGGAACCCTTATGTGAAAGTAATGAAGAAAATCCCACATGTAGAGAAAGGCATTCTGCTGCCTATTTGAGCCGTCATGGTTATCAAATGATGCGTGATGTGTTAGAAATAACCGAATTCAAATCCCAGCTCAAATACTCAACACCTGTGTGACGTTGAGCAAGTTCTTTGACGTCCCTGGGCCTCAGTTTCCCCTTCTGTACAATGGGAATAATCCATCTGCACGAGGGATTGTTGCAAGAACTAAATGGGGCCCTGCCTGTGAGTGATTAGCATGTATCAGTGCTCAATGAACATGTCTCATCATTTCTCAGAGCAGCAGCACAACGTGCACAGCCTGTGGCTGAATTAAGGGCCAAGGGTTATGTCTTCTACATTCTCAGAGCCCTTCCTTTTCTTGAGCAATCAATCAATAAAAGTTGTTGTCTTGGCTGGAGGACTGGCTGGGCTTTATTCAGGGGGGTGCCCCTCTGACCATGTCTGTGCCTGTTCGGCAAATCGGGCCTCTGGGTAGAGAAGATTAAACACCTTCTGAAACCTCAGCCCTCCATCACCAAAAAGTTCCATTTCTGCTCCAAGTAATAACCACCCTGTCTCCAGCAGAAATTCATAAGAGCAGAGAGTAAACCACCCCAGGCCATGCTCAACCCCATTTGAACCCAAATACATCTTTGAAATGGAAAGGTTATATATGTTGACCTGAGTGGGGAAAAAAATACAAAACTGAATCATAGATGCCTTAGCCACAGCGGCCAAGAAAAGTCCTGTAATCAGGCAGATGAGAGACAGCGGGGAGGAGGGAGAGAGGGGGCGGGTGCTTCCCTGAATGCTCGCTTGCTTTCCTCTATCTTTCCTTCACACCTGCAGGGGAAAGAACGGGAACCAGGGACCAATGACAACACCCAGTCAACCTCCCCAGCGTCAATGATGCCCCCCTCCAAAACCATCCAAATGGATGTGAGTGGCATAGGCAGATGTTGGAGGGGGGAGCCATGGGCAGAGCATGGGTGAAGCTCTATCATGAGCATTTTACAAGCCCTCGAGATAAAGAAAAGAGAGTTTGCACCTGGCGCAGAGGACAGCAGGTGCCAGGGAGAAGGAGGTGGTGCGGCCGGCGTCCCCAGTGCAGCCCGGCGGGTGACTTACTTGCAGAGAAGTTGGCCTCGGTGTGCACAGGAGGGGTGGAAGGCAGGAAAGGTGCGTGTCCCACAAAGAAGGAGCGGAGGGAGCGCTCGGACAGCAGCGGGGAGCGCTGCTGAGAGGGGATGTTCTCGCAGCTGCCTACGCTGCTGTGGATCTTGAGGTTCAAGGGTTTGCTCTTCTTCTTGGCTCTGAAAGGGAGACAGAAAAAGAGGAAAAGGAAATATATCCATAGGTGCACAAAGTTACAGCAGGGAGGCCCAGACTTGTGTTTCCCATGAGGGATCCAAAACCCACAGGGAGAAATTAGAAGAGCCACAGGCTTTTAGGTAGAGACACAGGGCTGGGCAACAAGGGTTTGCCCTCTCACCCCTAGGTCCCTCTGAGAAGCTCATTCTGCCATGGAGCATAAGCAAACACTTCAGCCATTCTTTTTCGCCCAGCTCCCTAGAGAAGCTCTACAGAGCCAGGGTCAAGTTCAGCTTCCAACTCCAATCCCACAACTTTTGCCTAAACATCTCAAGTCCCCAGAGCTCCAAGCCCCCAACCTGTGGCCAAGCTGCCCTTTGGCCATTTGACAAAAACAGCAAATCCCAGGCTGTCCTCAAGTGAGTCCAGATCTGTGTCAAGGTGGCATTCACCATCTACATGTTTCATCCCCAAATCCACTGCCCTTCCTCCAGGGAATAATAATCAGTGCATTTCTGTAGATGTTAAGCCTGACGACTTTCAAGAGATCTAAGTAGACTAAGCCTTCAGTAGGATCCCAGTGCCTCTTCTGGAAATGCTTCCTCTTGCTCAGAACTTCTAGTGCTGGGCTCCTTCTTCTCAGCCCACCCACGGCTCTGTCTGGCTCTTGGTCCAGTGCCTGCCAAGAGTCTCAGACGGTGCCCACCTTAGGAGTTCAGGAGGAGGGTGCTCCCCCAGATCATAGGCTGGATCTGATGGGGTGCCTCACAGGCAGCTGCCAGAGATCAGAAGAGTGATATAGACAAGGAACCCTGGGTGCCCCCACCCTTCATCGTTGTGCCCACCATAGCAGCATTGCTGGAGGAGAGCAGGTGCAGCCTGTAGAAATTACACTATTCTGGGGTCACACTCCCCAGATTCAAATAACTAGTCTCATCAACCCCGGGTGAGTCCATTAAACTTCTCAAGCCTCAGTTCTCTTGCCTACAAAAGAGTCCTCCTTTGGAGAATTGTGGAGTGAATTTAAAAATGCCCATAAGTGACTCAATACAAAGTAGAAATGTGAATTATTATTATTATATTATGGACATCTGTCTGATAGTTCCTTCAGAAGAAAGAATCTGCAGCTAAAACCAAGCAGAAGCTTCTGGAAAGTGTGGTTCTTCTCTTGGGGACTCTTTAAGACCCAAGAGATTGAACGGTATTCTTTGTACACTCTGTGCCCAGCAAAGCGAGTCACATAGAGAAGGAACTTAAATATTTGTTGAATGATCTCTAAATGGTAAAAGGAAGGAAGGTAAAGAGGAGCTCTTCCAGGGACCCCTCAGCTCACAGCCTTTGATCTATGGCCGGTTATAGATTCATTCAAGAGAAGAGAGAGAGGTGATGTCTGATCTCAATCCTACACATGGGCATTGGTCTCACCCCACCAGTGGGTGAGCATCTGCCTTCTGCCTACAACGTGGTGCATTCATGGCAACAATTGTGCAATAAAGCCAGGGGCTCTCCCTTACACAGAATCATAAAGGTAATGCATAGGTAACTCACTGAAACAGGTAATGGCGTGATATTTAAGCAATTAATAGAAATGTGTTATGAGTGCTAGTATCCACCACAGTTAAGCTTATGACACAATCTGATACTATCAAAAATAAGTGCAACGTATACCGAAGGCTGAGAATAACTATGCCCTCAAGAATGGATCTGTCACATGCTGGCCATTTCTTAGTATAGAGCTACCCTGTCCAATAACAGAGCTACTCGTCCACGTTAGCACTTGAATTTGTGGCAAGGCTTGACTGAAATAGGCTTAGAATGAAAAATAATAATAATAATGGACAATATCTAACAATACTTTTGTAAGCATCAAATGTTGGGGTAAATAAAATACATTGCTAAAATTTAAAAAAAAAAAAAGACGGCTGGGTGCAGTGTCTCATCTCAGTAATCCCAGCACTTTGGGAGGCCAAGGTGGGAGAATAACTTGAGGCCAGGAGTTTGAGACCAGCCTGGGCAACATAGCAAGACCCTGTCTCTATAAAAAATTTAAAAATTTGCCGGATATGGAGGCATGTGCCTGCAGTCCCAGCTACTCAGGAGGCTGAGGTGGGAGGATCACTTGAGGCCAGCAGTTTGAGGCTGTAGTGAGCTATGATTGTACCACTGTGCTCCAGCCTGGGTGACACAGTGAGACCCTGTCTCTAAAATAATAATAATGATAACAATAAAATTTAAAAATGATAAAGAAAGTGAGGGGCTTAGCAATTATTCACAGTCTGTTGCTGAAATAAAAAAAAAAAAAAGCAGGGTATTTAAGATTCTTTTAGAATTGTTTCTTTTTTTCTAGGCATCTTCCTTGCCAACAGATTATTAGGAGGTGAAATTACTCCATTTCCAACAGGACCTCTCATACTGAGAGAGAGATGGAAAGGAGACACTAAAAACAAGGATTCCAGCCAGGTGCTGATTAAGCTTTCATCTGAAATGGAGAGAATACAGCTCTGAAATTATAGGCATAAAACATGGACATTTAAAATTTTTCAACTTTATCAAACAGGAGGTTTCATCATAATAATAACAACAGCAACAACAGCCAGTGTTAATGCTGCTTTGATTTGAGTGCTGACTGTGTTCTAGGGACTGTATCAAGTGCTTTGCTTTTCATGTATGACCTCACTTAAGTGCCATAGTAACCCTAGGTGGGAGATGCTGTTATTATCCTCTCCCCAACGATGAGGACTCCAAAGCAAAGAGAAGATCAGGGATGCAGTGAAGGTGGTCCCAGCCCTGAAACCAGGCAGTATATGGCACCAGGGTGCAGCTCTCAACTGCACCCACACCAGACCCTGCGTGTCAGTCCCAACCCCACATCATCACCCACCCCAAGGCCAGCTATACTGAGAAGTTTGATTTGGGACATGCGCAGGTCAGAGGCACAGGGGTGGCCAAGAACTGAGCCCCAAATCTTCACTTTTGCTTCATCCACCTCTTTTCTTGGAACCCTTTCACCAGAACCACCCAGAAACCCCATACAGATATTTCCCTTTGCCCCCCTGTCTCCAGCACTGAGCCCTTTTGCTCTGGAGTAATTAAAGAGAAAAATGCTATAATAGGTGAAGGAGACGGGGCGGGACCCCGGAGAGTCCCTGTTTAGTGGCCCCCATGGGACGGCAAAGCTGCCCCTTACAAAGTGTTTCTACCATTTCTCTCCCTCCTCCACCTGGTGAACCCCTACACATACTCCAGGGTCCAGTTCAAATATTAACGTGTATAATGCCCTCTCCAACCCACAGAGTCAGGTAACTTATCATTACCTCCCCTCACTCTCTTAGTACCTGCTTTCCCATCACATGCTGGAAAAGACCCGATTTCCTTAACATGGTACCCAATATCTACCCACACACACACCTTGGTCTGGCTCTGGGGCCTTCTCAGTCTTTGTATATGCTGTCTCCACCACCTGGAGTACCCTCCGTTGCTTTGCCTGGTTAAACCCTATTTGTCTTTTATGACTTGGCTCTGATGTCCTCTCCTCCAGGAAGTCTTCCTTGATATCCTAATTCATTTCAGCATGAGTCAGGTATTCTTCTTCCAGGAAGTGTTCCCTAATACTCCCTCTTCCCTCCTAGACTTGGCTGGGTGTTCCTTTGCAGTTCTCTCTCTCTTGATTGATTGACTGATCATTAGATAGATAGATAGATAGATAGATAGATAGATAGATAGATAAATGATAGACAGATAGACAAACAGATTGATGGCTACAGTTTCCCATTTTTTCACATTTGCTGTCTTCCAAGTAGACTGTGGTCTTTGAGGGCAATGACTCTGTATGGTTCATTTTCCTATTCTTGGCAACCAGCACAGAGCCTGGCACACAGTAGGTGCTCATTAAATGCTTACTAAATGACTGTTCTGGATTAAGACTCTGGCACACATCACATTCCCTTCTAATTCTTTGCCTTCCACACGTGACTGTAGGCTCCTTGAGGTCAGGAACCATGTGGTTTTCCCTGTTGGATCCTTCATCCCTTAGCTTGGTACTAGTTGAATGAAATGAAACTTTTCAGTGGGCTTGAAAACATTTCTTCCCTTCCCAAGGAGTGTGCTTAAGAGCGCTTGGTTCAAAGCTGCATCCAAAAGGAATCTTTCAGCTCCTCCTACCCACCTCCCCCAAACTCCCGTCCTGCCTGCCCGGGAGTGGAGCGCCCTCTTGTGGCCAGAGCACAGCCTCCTTGCAGATTTTCAGAATCCCTGGATGGAGAGTTTAGAAAAGTCTGTTGGTTTAAGCCTGGGGGCATCCCACACAAGCAGCTGAAAAGTCCCACTGTGCAGGAGGCCTGCTGCTCGCTGGCTTGAGGGAGTCTAAGCATGCCTGCAAAGTCTCCTTAGTGCCTGGAACGCCAACTCTGCTTATCTCCCCCAGGGCTCACGGCGAGGACCAGAAAGGAGCTTCCAGTTACAGCAGCACATACTGGCGGACTCTTTCTTGCCCATGGTCAGAGAAGAAAGGAAAGCAAGGCGGGGCTGGGGGGGGCGGGGGCGGTTCCATTTCATCATTTCATCCCACGCAAATGCTCAATGTTGAAGATTCAAAGAAACATCCATACACGGACACAAATGACTGTTCCTAATGACTGTGACTGCGTACTTAAGATTTAGTGAATATTTTGCAGCATGTCCCACAGATGCAGTGTAATTTAGTGGTTAAACTCATAGGCCTTGGGGTCAGAGACACTGGGACTTCAGTCCTGATTGTGACCTTGAGAAAGTGATCTCCGTTTCCTCATCTGGGCAATGGGGACAATACTAACACAATCTCAGAAGGCTATTGTGAGAATTCTATGAGATAACAAGCTTGGCACGGGACCCAGCACAGAGTGAGGGTTCAGGTGATGTCACCTGCTATTAAAGTCACGATGACCAGATCAAATTAGATGTCTGTATAGCTATGGAAATAGACTGGAAGAAGCCAAAATTGAAGCCAAGTTGCAATTTTCACCCG